GGACACCAGAGACCCATGACTCCCATCGGCAAATGTTCCACGCACACCCCCTGGGCCTCAGGAACCTGTGCCTCCCACGGACAGTTCGGGCGTGGGAAGGAGAAGGGCTCACACCGCCTCCCAAAGAGGTGACGGGAAGTCTGGCAGAGTCTGCGACCAGCAGGAGCTGCCGACAGAGGGACTGCACCCCCAACTGCAATCCCACTCCCCGACACAGGGTCCCTGCTCCCTTTGAGAACATGGAAAACCCTAAAATGAATAGATAATGGAAGATTTTATATAACATGTAGAAAGAGGCATTTAGGTCAGTTTAAAGGAACCATGAGTCCTTTTCTCTATAATCAGAAGTAAAATTAAATCCTCCCACCACCGCTCCCCCAGCTCTTTGAAATACCTATGGCTCCCATTGTCCGCACTGGGAACCCCTTGAAGGAGCTTTGTTGTCCCCACATAACCCTGGATATGGGAGACTGTGGGGTCTATCTCCTTGAAGGCCTTAAGTACTCAAAGAGGCCTGAGGAGTATCATTTTAGGGGGCTTGTACTTATTTGAAGGTCTGTATGCACCTTACATTCTGAGACACAGGCATGTTATACCCATTTTTGAGGTAAGACATCAAGGTCCAGAGGATCCCAATCAAATGCAGGTACCAGGGCTGTTTGGTTCCAAATCCCATAAGCTTTGCACTGTATCTCACTGCAGGATACCCGGAGATGAGTGGGTCCCAGCCTTCTGCACATCAGAAAGTTCCAGGGAGCCTTTAAGATTCCCAGTGTTGGGGCCCCTGGGTGGCTCAGTCCATTGAGCGCCTGTCTTTGGCTCAGGTCATGATCTCAGGGTCCTGTCTGGCTCTGTGCTCAGTGGGGAGCCTGCTTCTCCCTCTCCCTCTCTCACTCACTCTCAAATAAATAAAAAAATCTTAAAAAAGTAAGATTCCCAGTGTTTAGCCCCACCCCCAGGGACTGATTCAACCCGCCTGGGGTGGGTGCCCCGTCACCCAGAGTCTAAACAGTCCCCAGGGAATTCGAATGAGTAGCCAAGGCAGAGAACAACTGCCTTCCAACAAAAGCACGAGGCAAGGTCAAAGCTACGAGATGCGCAGTCCATGAGATGAGCGGGAAGTCCTTAACTGAACACTTGCGTGTCTACCCCGCCGGGGGAAAAAACCCCGGTCCTGGCATGGGCCTGCGTGAGAGATGAGGCCAAACCTTCTGTACCCCCTTCCACTGCCCAGACCACACAGCCCCTCAAGACGGCGAATCAGGGCTTGGCTTCCATCTCTGAAGGTACAGCCATGGACTAGCTCACATGTGCAGGGCGCTGGCCTGAATTTTGGAAAGGACACAAAAAAAGAATACTTGTTCCTGTCCTCTTCTTTCTGCCTGGCTGAGGAGGCAGAGGAAAAAAAAAACAAAAGAAAGGGCGTTAAAAAAAAAAAAAAAAAAGGACAAATATATTCCATTATACGATCAGAACCCAGCCAGTGATCTTCCCAGAAAGGCTGAGTAGTCTGGGAGGGCCTCCAGGAGGGGGCGAGCCTGAGGAGCGGAACTCCATTGGAAGTCGTCAGGGAGCTTGGCCATCTAAGGGCGCGGTGGCGCAGGAGACCCGGTGGGTTGGGGTGTCACTCTCGCAGCTCCTGGGGCCATCGGAGGCGTGGGGGGCAGGGAAGCCGCTGGAGGAAGATTCGCTGCGTGTGTACCCACTTCGCTTGGTCGGAGGGTCCCCTCCGGAGGGCCCTCCAGAGCCACGCGCTGGGCCCGAGTGACGGGTGGGGCCTGGGCAGGAAAAGGCCGGTGTCGCTCTCAAGGGCCTGGGGAATCGGGGTCTCTCCCTGCCACCTCTTGAATTCCCAGGCGAGCGGATCTGAGTGCTGGCCTGGCAGGTTCGGCGCCGGACCCTGGATCGGTCAGGGCCAGGGACGCAAGCCAGAACAGGGCCAGCCCCGGGGTATTTGAAGGCAGAGTCAGCATGAGAAAGCCAGCTGCCTCGGGAAGGTCTCCCCGCCCAGGGAGACGGGGAGACCCAGCAGCCTGGGCCACTGCACTGAGCGCCCCTGTTCCTGGACGCTCGAGGATGGGTAGACGGCCGCGAGGCTTGTCTCGGACTGAGCCACATTCTGTGTTGAAAGGTGAAGCAGCGTGCTCTGTGCTCACCAGAGTCCCCGGGGATCGGCCCTCCTCCCGGGCCCTGTCACCTGGTCTCCCCAAGGCTGCTCTGCAACCCCCTGCCCGCGCCCCCATTCCCATGCCACCCCTGCCTTCCACTTTGCCCTTTGTAAACACTCTCTGGCTTCCTGGAAACAAGGAGGCCTTCTAACCAGAATTTCTCAACTTCCTCCTCTCCCTGGTGGGGCCAGTGGTCTGCATTTTCCTCTCTCCCTGGGTCCCCATCTGTTCTTTAGAACTAGGTCATCCAGCCTGACTGCGCTTTGAATCCCTTCCCCTTGTCCGTCCTCCTGGGCCTTGGTCAACCACTAGCCACTTTCTTGCCTTATCGGTGACACTAACCCCCCACTGCCCCAAACACAGACTCTTTTCCTTTATCCTTAAGTCTCCCCAGGCCCCTGCCATCCCCTCTGGTGACCCTCTTAGCTCACTCCTTCCCCGGTCCCCAAGCCCCCTGTCTTCACACCTGCATCTCCCCTGGGCCCCAGCTCCCGCCCTGGGGCTTCAGCCTCCACCCACCTCCTGCAGGGTGGTGGGAAGAGGCTGGCTACCAGCCCTCCCCTTCCAGGACTGGGCATGGTCACCCTCCTTCCCATCCTTTAGGCAGTGATATTCTCACCTCTGCTTCTCTGAGCTTCCCTAGTGCTGTGTCTCTTTCTGGGTCTCTCTCCGTCTCTTTCTTCCTGTCTTCGTTTGTGATCCCATTCAGGACCGGAGCTGCAGCTCGTGAATGGGACTCGAATCTCCGTCCGGCTCAGACCAGCCGGGGAGACGAAATCCTGGTTGGCTGGCCCGACCAGCAGCTGGGTCTGCTAAGCTGTCGAATACCAGGGTGAGCTGCAGCCAGGGCCACTGTTGTGGCCGCCTTGGGGACCCTCGGTGACAACAAAAGCAACGTGAAGAAAGCAGACCGGGGACAGAATAGGAGACTGCCCTTCGGTGAGTGAATCGGACTCCAGCCCTTGTGAATCTGGATCTGGCCGTGCGTACAGGCACCTGCCCCTAGGCTTTTCAGCGGTGGGGGCTGACGCGGTCCCACTTTTGCGTAAGCTGGTCTCGCTGGATTGTTGTCACTTGCTGTCAAAGTAGGCACCTCAAGCTAGACTGAGGCCACTTGGTCCAGGACCCACCAGGCCGGATCCTCCGCGTCTGGCCTCCCTGGCTTCATTCCTGGCACCATGTCCTCTGTCTGCCACCTCTGACATGCCGACTCCTCCCCTCTTGAGCATCCCTCGCATGTGGTGCCAGGTTTCATCTCTGCATTGTTTCAGTAATTTCCTCGCTGGCTTCCCTGTCCCGGCTCAACCCTCCGCTCTGCAGCTTGGATGTTTCTAGGGCACAGCCCAGAGACACCACCTGGGATGCACGACGGCCTTCACCAATCTGCCCTTGACCAGAATCTAGGTCCGTTATCCAAACCCCGCTCATTCCTGCATTCATTCCCCGTGTGCTTTATCACTGTCCTCGCTGTGGGTCAGGGAGCCAGTAGCTAGTGGCTACCAGTCAGCCAGTAGCCCACCCCCCTCTGGCGGGCCCCGCAGCCTGCATTCAGGGCTCCCTGCACTGTCCCCGGGCCTCCCTGGCTGCCTCACCCACCTCCACACCCTGTCTGCTGAAAGCCCCCCAAGTGCCAGTCGGTGGGACGTCTGGGTCCCCAGCCAGAAGTGTCCCCCCTGCCTCTGAGCACCCATAGTGCCCTGCGCTCCAGCACCGTTTGACAACACCGTTCTTTTCCGAGGGTCACTTGCCTACATCTTTCCCTCCTAGACTTCTGGAGAGCAGGGTCTGTGTCTCTCTCCCTTGCCTTGGGATCTCCTGCCAGTACCTGCCCCTCCTGCGTACTCGCAGGTACTTGCTGAGTGAACGAAGGAATGGCCATGCCTGAGCACAATGCCTCCGGAAGTCCAGCTCCCCTCCCCACCCCCATTAAACAAGAAACTTAAAAAAAAAAAAAAAAAAAGACAAGACAATGCAGGGGAGGGAGGGTTGAGTAGGTGGAACACAGAGGTTTTCTCAGGCAGCGAAACCACCCTGGATGATACCATCACGGTGGGTATATGTCCTTATACATTCGCCCACACCCACAGAATGCACAACCCCAGGAGCGAGTTTTAGGGTCAACGATGGACTCTGGGTGATGATGACTGGTCAGGTAGGTTCCTCCTCTGTAACAACTTCCAGTTCGGGGGCGCCTGGGTGTTAAGCGTCTGCCTTCGGCTCGGGTCATGATCCTGGGGTCCTGAGATCGAGCCCCGCTTCGGGCTCCCTGCTCGGCGGGAAGCCTGCTTCTCCCTCTCTTGCTGCTCACCCTGCTTGCGTGCTCTCTCTCTCTGACAAATGAATAAATAAAATCTTAAACCAAAAAAAAAAAACACCTTCCAGCTCTGGCTGGTTGTGGATGCTGGGGGAGACTGGGAGTGTGGGAACAGAGGGCATATATGGCAAATCTCTGCACCTTCCTGTTTTGCTGTGAACCTAAAACTGCTCTGAAAAATAGTCTTATTTTAAATTTAGTGATTCATCGTTTACATATAACACCCAGTGTTCGTCATAACAAGTGCCCTCCTTAAAAAAAAAAAAATGAAGTCTTAAAAAAAAGATAGCATATAACAGGGAAATTGGCATGGTGTAATTCAGTTTCAATAAAAAAATTATTTTTTAAAATATTTCCTTTTGTATTTACTCCCATATCCTCCTCCATCCACTTCTGCTCACACCCTCCCTGGCTTTTGCTTTCACTATTCCTTTCACACTGACAGGGCCCCTCTCTGACTCGGGGGCGAAACCTCCGCTTCTCCCTTCCCTCAGCTCACAGACCAGCCTCACCTCTCCCCTGCAGCATCCAAACTCTGGCAGTCAGCACTTATCTCAGGTGAAGGAGGGCTGGGCTGCCGCCCTGGTACCAGTGAGCCGAGAAAGAAAGGCAGGTGGGAATGATCCAGAAGATTCTGGAAGGATATGGGCAAGGCAGGGGCGGGGCAGTTCTGTTGACTCGTAAGGGCCCCTTGTGGGTCCCAGAGCTGGGTCCACACTGCACAATTCAGAGTTCTGTGCTTTCACCAAGAGCTCGGGGCAGGGCTTGGCACGGACCTCATGTGGTGAGCATGGGAAGGCCAACCCACCATTAGCGCTGGCTTGATGGAGCCTCACTGGTTCTGATCATGAAACTTGATACCACTCTCAGGAGAGCAGCAAATACAACTGTGTGCAGACCAGGACGAGCAACTAAGCCCTGGGCTTGAGGTTAGTGGGGGGATGGCAGGCCCCAGGAACTCCGTGGCCGGGCCTGAGACACCAAGAGGGTGCGGGGACCCATGGAAACACCCAGGCTGGGTTCTGGACCTCCAAGACAAGAGAATGGAGCAGTGTCCCGTTACCAGTAGGGCCACTAGGCAGTACTTAGGAACTTAGGAGGGGTGACCTCTGGGCTGGGGGTCTGAAGCCAGGGCCGCTTCCTGGGAGCGCATCCAGCCCAGTCACACTGCTCAGTGCTCAGAGTTCAGTGCTCTGAGGCGCCATTTTGAAATTCTTTATGATTTTATCTGTGAACTGGGCTTTGGGAGTGAAGTCCGATGAGACAATGGAGCATGCACTAGGGGCTTGGGGGCTTGGAGGCTTGGCTCATGTGTGGTCCTGCTTTCCTCTGCCTCCTACCTTCCTGGAATGGGGTCTCGGCTGCCTGCCTCCCCCACTTCCCAGGTGGAGGCCTGGGCGCAGATACAGGAAAGGTCGATGTGTGTGCTCCTCCTGCTGGGGTGCTGGGGTGTGGGTGCGGTCTCAGGCGCCTGTGGGGATGGATTCTCCCCTGCCTGACAGTGCGGCCTTAAATAGCAACTAGGAAACACCATGGAGGCGGTGGGCAGGGGAGAAAAGGAAAATGGTCCTTTCCCGCTTCTTGAAGCAGGGCTCTACATTTTCATTTTGCACCAAATCCCCCTTCTCAGCCGCCAGCCCCGGCTGACAAAGAAGCAGGTACCAGAAGACAGGGAGGCCCAAGTTTCCAGGCAGGTGAGTCAGGTGGACGTACCTGTTCCCAGGACACGGCGCCAAGGCCAAACCCTGGTACAGCTTCTTAGCGGTTCCCTTCCTGGGGACTGGGCTATGGCCCCAGGCTGGGCTGGGGTCCCTGTGCCCATACGGGCCGGTGAGGAACTACACAGGCTAGAAAAAGAGGCCCATCGGGGGTGCTCAAAGGAAGGTTCCAGCGCATTTCCTAGATTTCAAGAGCGCATATTTGCAGTCTGCCTTAATGTGAGCCTGAGGGGCAGCCGGAGCCTGGGACTGTCTTTGAGTTCTGGAGCCCTGATTTCCAAACTTTCCTAGGCTTCAGAATCCACTGGGGATTTGCTAAAAATGCATATGGCCGGGTCCCACCTCCTGAGATCCTGAACCAGTAGGTCGGACATTGAATTTTTAACGAGCAATCCAGAAATTTCTCCTTAGTGGTTGGGTAATGCGGGTGGGGGGACCCACACTGAGGTGCCTGGCAGGAGGGAGAAGAAAGCATCCATCTGTCCGTCTGTCCGTCCGGGAGGGTCTGCCCCAGCAGACACCTCATGGTGCAGAGAATAGGCGTCCCCGCAGAGCCCGGCCCAAAGGGCCCGACCCTGACCCTACGTCCTGGTGGCGTTTGCTTTTCGGTGAAAGAGAGGGAAGAGGTAGAAATGCGCAGAGTGACCGTGAGGACACGAGGATGGCACCCACGTCACATCTGTGTTCCTGCCGTTCGGGGGACACTGCGCACCATCACAGCACCCCACGACAGCCGTGATCTCTCTTAGGGTTTTTCTGGCGGGTGATGGCATCCTAACAAGGCCACCAACGAGCTGGCCGGCCTGGGCAGAGCATTTCAGCCCCTGTCTCAGCTCTGAGACGGCAAGGACTGTTTTTCCTCCCCAGCTCCCTGGGTGTGGGTGACGACGAGGGAGAAAACCACAGGAACACCGCAGTGTGCAAACAGCTGCATAAACGCATCCCTGACGAGGAAGGAAAAACAAGTGGGGCCCCCTAAAACGGCAGTATTCAATGAATACAAAGAGTATCTAAGCAGCGAGATGACTGCTTTAATTTTTTCTTCCTATTGTCCTGTGCTCCCCAATTTTTTGCACTGAGCAGCCATTGTTTTGATTTCGAAGCCCCAGCTGGGAGCTGCCCAGGGGGACGCGGACAGGGAGCTGGAGAGCAGCCAGACGCCCCCCCCCCCCCCCCCCCCCCCCCCC